GGGGGATCATCCAGATAAGGAAGTAAAAGGTAGCCCTAAAAGACCAAAAAATACTTAGAACGCAAATAAATGGAAGACTTAGTTATATAAGTCGTGCTGATGAAAGTAAATAACGAAATTTCACTGTAGAACCTCTATTTGAAAGCTATAAAAAGACAATACATTTATTCATTGATAGAAGACTCAGAAGTTGTACTTGTTTTTTTGAACTAATAATGCAGGTTTGAAGAGACTGTCTCAGATTTGGTCTGAACAAACTAGGGGCTCATTAAATGCCATGTGTCACAAAGTGTATACTCAACTGTGAGCACCGTTTTTCGATCCGGATTAACGAAGGTTTACTGTATTGTAATCATGAATGCTAAAATTGTTTTGTAGGATTTAAGGCTCTTGTATCAGTTGTTATGATATGTTCTGTCTTCTTGGATATGACTGCGTCTAGTCTGTTGAAAGGCAACTGCAGTTTCTATGGAGAAACATGTTTTCTCCATCTCCTTTGTCAAAGAATAAACCAAGCAGAAAAAGGGAAAAAAAGCAGGTAGCAAGCAGATGTGTTTGAAATTGTTCTATTTGCTAAGAAGCAGCTGTTACGTATGCTAAGTCCATAAGGTAGAGAATAGAGCAAATTTAACTTCTGTTACCCATTAATGAGGCAGTAATGGGTAACTTGAGATACATCTCTTGGTATATGAACATTACGAAGAGTTTTATTATGAGAACGAGTGTAATTGAACACTTTTGCAATTTGAATAAGTATATTTTGGACGATAATGATTTCATCTTGTGTAGTAGCGATGCAAGGGGAAACAGAGGTACCAGTAACATGCACGATGTCACATTATGTTATGTAGTGTAGCTTCTTAGGGCTTAAATGTTACACTCTTTGGAATTCAATGATAAATTTATTTTCCATGGAGACAAAGCACGTTGGAGTAAATCTTAACAAGCTGATGGATTAAGACAGACAGGAGTGAAATGGTTTCTCAGAACTACATGGATATTACATATCACTAGGAAAGCCTTGGGGGCGGGGGGGGTATTATTATTAAAATTATTATTAAATTACATGTTAAGATACGGTTCATGAATTCATTTCTGCAAGTATCAGTTGGTAAAAATGTAGAATATTTTAAAAGAACTTCATCACATTATCTTTATTATCAAAGCACCTGTCAAATAATGCATTTTTTTTTTAATATAAAAGACATCTAAAATATGTTTCTCACTAGAAGTGCCACTTTAATACCTTACAATGTTGTTAAAATTATAAAATGTCATTAAGACACTAAAAGTATAACTTATGCACTAAAAGTGATCATTAAGTCATCAAATTTTAGTGCATAAGTTATACTTTAGTGTCTTAATGACAGTTTATAATTTTAACAAAATTGTAAAATGTTAAAGTGGCACTTTTAGTGAGAAACATATTTTAGATGTCTTTTATATTAAAAAAAAATGTTGCATTATTGACAGGCGCTTTGATAACAGCGTTAATGTCTCAATGCAACGGGATATTGAAATACAGTAAAACTTGGTTATAGCAACATCGGTTTCTGCGACGCCTTGTCTATTGCGTCAATATTGAATGGTACGAACTAATTCCTCATAAAGCAACTGTTTTTATACCTTGCTTAGTACGACATGCACAAATGCATCAACCTCGTATGTAACGTCATTTTCATTCCTGAATTTCTCTGATATCGTGGGAAAGTTCG